ACCTGTCAAAAATCTGTCACTATTGACTTACATATTAGTTATCTTGTCAAAAAAGAACATCGGTAACTAATAGTCTAGTCAATCGTGACAAGTATCAAATAAAATTACTGTTTTCTTGAATATCCAAGTCCAACAGTCAAATAATGCTTTATTGATGTTTAGTTGAATAATTTCATTAAGAAAGTGTATTTTCTCACATAAAAATTGACCTGCTTCAAGATTTATCATTTGCGTTCAATTTTTTTTCTGATTGATTCAACCGTTACTTGATGAAGATCCATAGTAATTTCAAAAACTACACCTCACGATTTGAATATTCAAATCACTTGATAAAGCTATTGTGTTAGCGGAACATGTTGTGATATATTTTTCAAAAAAAGTTTGTGGAGATCAAATCGTGAGGTGTAGTTTTTGAAATTTGCGTTCATAATTACGTAGAAAATGAATTTATCGGTTACTTTAGCACCTAACTGTATAATTGAAAGAGACTACAGTACATAACTTGAACAATTTTTTCATACTTGTTATGCACTGTTTGGAACCTTTGGTATAGTAATAAATATTACAGGAATTTTATTCCAATTATTTTAATATATTTTTTTGTCTGTCCATAATATTTGGATCGCAGTCCTTACAGTCCTTACAGTGATGTGAACTGTCAGGAATATACCTGTACGTGCTTGTTTCTTTTACACATACATCGTATATTGGCATATTGGCTCCCCATCACCAAAACGTCTAGAAATGGAAGTTGTCCTTTATTTTCTAAATCATTCGTGAATTTCATTGATGGAATATATTTTTTTAAAAGTCCTCAATATTCGAATTTTTGTTATCAAATATCGCGAAAACATCATTTACATACCTTAGCCATATCCTAGAAAAATACTTTGACTTTTCTTTGGTTTCCATTTCAAATCTGCCAATGAACAGGTTTGCCAGGTAAAGGGACAATGGGTTACCCATAGTCGTTTCCTCCTGTTGTTCATAAAAACAACCTTCTACCTGGAACCGGTTTTGTTTCATACACAAATTAGTGAGACAAACAAATTCATCATTTTCGTTATTATTGAAATTATTTTTCTCTATTAATATCCTGAGGTGTTGTAAGGTCTGTGGAGTTGGGACGATAGGAAATAGGAACTAAAAACTAACCAAAATCTCACCTTGTTGCAGAACGATGTTTTTTGTACATTATATGAACTCTGAGGAGTTTTTTATACTTAAACCTGGTTTCGCAATAGATAAAACTTCAAATTCCTTACTGAGCCATTTTGCTATTTGGTAGGTAGGAGATGCAACAGCTGACATGATGGGGTGCATTAATTTTCCCGGTTTGTGTAAAATTAATTTAAGACTAGTAGATAAGGCGATATTGTGAAATTAATTTTATATAGCTTATAATATTTCAATTATTAGATTTACCTGACTATTACGTGAGGACACATTGTAAAATTAATTTAAGACTAGTAGATGAGACAATATTGTGAAATTTAAGGCACTCAAGACGCAAATACCTAGAACAGGTTTCTATGGTATAAATAAGGATAGCGTTGTAAGTATGTATCTTCCTCCTGAAGATAATCACTTGGTGATCGAAACACGTGTCGAAGTATTAAAATAACGGTTTGGTGTTGGGAACAAAGTAACATTATTTGTAAAAAAAAAAAAGATGCATGCCCTCTCCTCTACATGCGATATGCTTTGTATGTTTGAAGATCCTCATCACTTTCTGTTAATCAGCTAACAGAAACCAACTCTGCACTATTATTCAAATATTTGGAAGATTTTCCCAGAATTAAAACTAGGTAGATTCTGGAATATTTTAAAGGATTTTTGTTAAAGAAATATGATTTATAAAATTTGTGATGGTTTATTGAAGATTGCCCGAAGGCTAAAAAATTACACGAAAGTGTGGATTAGGAAGTAGGGACAGTGAGAACTCAATGGGACAAGGGGTATAGTGGAATACCGTCAATAAATATTAGAATTACAAATGAACTGATGACGCAGTGTATTATGGCGGACATGCGACAATAGAGTTTTGGGACGATAAAAATTGCTTTGAGGAGTAAAAATTTTGAATTTTCTACCGGAGAACTTTTGACTTTTGACAAAAAAAAGCAGTTATAGCAAGTTCTATGGAACACTGTTCCATTGTGCTCCATTCAATTCCATGGTATCATCTGTTCTGTTCTGTTCAAAATATGTTCTTCCGTTAACCAGCTGTCGCACCCCTACGAACGACAACCCTCAGAAGTAGAAACTTGTGCTATTAACGAGGTCTTACCTTTTAACGTGTGATTCCTAACACGGGTTGGACGATAGCAAGTGAAAATCGTTCGTTCAGACTAGGGCTTGAACCACCGACCAACACGGCAGTCTATTCGAGTGAGTGAACAAAGCACCCACGTCGAACCGCTTGGATACCAACCGACCTTGTATCAGATTGATTTTATTTGAATTTGTTACCGGTTTTGAAGTCACAATGTTGAGAAATCGACAGAGAAAAGCAGACATGGCCTGCGCAATGTAGATAATAAGCGTGAGGCTATAAAACTAGTAGAAGACGGTATGAGTTTGCTTGATGCTTTGCAGGCGCTAGATGTTTCGGTATATGGCCCACTCCGAAAGTTCTAGAATGCTGCATCAGATTCATGGATGTCTCGACCCCCAGGACAGACTCTGAGCATTTATAATGTGGCGGAACTTGTAAGACAGGTGTTTGAAAAAGCTATGACGCCAACTAATATTAAATCTGGATTTAAAAAAGACCGGAATGTGTCCGTTTGATGAGACGTTTTCAACGAAGATGATTTCCTTACAAGCGAAGAAACTAACAGGCCAATATGAAGACCTGCAAATGCAATCCAGGAATCTTACGGTACCTGCTATTGAAAATGAAAAACCTTCAACTGCACTTCAAGAAGTTGGAAATCGGGTAAAAAGTCCTTTGAAATTCTCGAACTACCCTAGAGCTGAGTCAAGAAAGACGAGCAGAAGAAAACAGGTAAAAGCTTAATTTTGACAGACACTCCTATCAAAAACGAAACAGGAAAGAGAGAAAAGAAACCAAAGGGCGAGAAAATATATAATATAAAGAGAATGAAAACTGAGAAAGTGGCCAAAGCATTATTTTCTAAAGTCCAATTGTTGGTTCAGATGTGTCCAGTGATGAAGATATGTATCTAACAGTGTTTATTTTAAAAACTACAATACTAAGGACTTTGCCTTGGCGAAATTCAGCAAGAAAAAAAAATATTATATTTTGTTGGTCAAATTCTGACAGAAATAGACGAAAACAAAGAATATCATATCAGTTATTGCGTCGGAGTGCGAAAATTGACAGTAGCTATATTTTCCACTATTCAAAGCAAATTTTGACTTTTGAACAAAAATTACTTTTTCGTTCCATTGTACCCCAACTGTCCCTAGATTATTCAAATCCCCGAGACTTAAAAAAAATTAAAGCATGTGGCTAGCTTGAATGTTTCAATGAAATATTATATATTTATGTGGCATGAACTAATTTAATTAACTTATCACAAGCAAACTGAGTAATTAGCAACCCCTTCCCGACAAAGGTGAAGAAAAAAGATGTACCACCTTTCTGACCAAAAAAAATTGTTTAGCTACACAACGTGGTAATTCAGATTCTGTTTTTGGCACCATCTCATCGTCACATTCACTGGATGAAAGTTTTCTTCATCCCGTTGTTTCCAAATCCTATTTATACCCTAGTCACGATGGGAGATTGTTTCCTCATAAAACCTCCCATATTCCTTGTGATACCCCCCATAATTTCCCATCAGAAGATACAGAGAAACATGAACAAGTTATAGAATTCAATACGCCTGCCATATCCAATTTAGTTTCAGGCAGTTTAGCTTCGAATTCCTTATCCAACCAATCCAATGAAGGGGTGAATCATCGATTCCGTGATTACTCACAAGAAGACAGTAGTAGCCAACGTACTATCAACAGTTACACCATTAAATCAGAGATACATTCTTCAGTCAAAACTCTTTGGTTTAATGGGTTGCAAAATATTGGTAACACCTGTTTCATGAATGGTATAATCCAATGTTTATCAAACACGAGATAGTTGCTGGAATATTTGAAAACGGATACATACATGGAAGATATCAATACTAGTATTTCTAATATGAAAGGTGCTTTAATCAAAGCGTTCGCAGAAGTTGAATGTTGCCATTCAGTTTTCTTTAGAAGCATTAGATATGAGCAATTATGCAGCAGACAATGTGGCTTCTTGTCGTTACAATCTAAATGCACTCTCGAATCACAGTGGGACTACTTACAACGGGGCTTACACAGCATATTCCAGACACCCTTATAGTGGCACGTGGACTAAATACAACGATTCACACGTGACTAGGGGAGAACGAAGCAGCACTTTTGAGGTGTTTTTTTCCTTCTCTCTTTTGATAAGCTAAACTCCGTTAATTGATTTGTATTTCATGATTCTTCTGATAATAAATTTTATAGGGAAACTATAAAAACTATTTAAATTGTCAGAAAACGAGTACAATCGTATCTGTTGAAGTTTCACCTGAATTTCAAGATTTTTTGCACTAATATTCCATGTGTATTTTTGAAAACAGTTATTTCTATATTATCATCATTACAGGTGTCGGGTATTGGTCTCATCATAGCAGGCTCACTTATATTATCAGATGTTGGTGAATTTGGCCATTTCTTAGAAAACAGAATTTTGGCACCTCCAGTAGTATTGATAGTGGCAGGGTGCATAGTTTTTTTGGTTGCTTCTTTGGGATGTTATGGAGCAATCAGAGAGTCATATTATATGCTTATGGCGGTATGTGATCAATATTTTTCCTATTTTTCAATAATTACAAACATTTTATTACAGTTTGCTCTTTGTCTTCTAATAATTTTCATAATTGAATTTGCTGTTGGTATCGCCGCAGCAACTTATAAAAGTGAATTCCAAACTGCTCTAAAAGATGCGATGACGAATTCTATGAACAATTATGAAACCAGCAAAGCTGATAAAGTGGCTTGGGATCATATCCAAACAAAGGTAAGAAAATTGCAAATTTTGAAACTAATCATTTATCAATTTCCATAACTGTTTAATCATACCAAAATCAATTGAATATATTAAATTCCTTATGATGTACTGTTTGGAACCTTTGGTGTAATAATGTTATCAATATAAATTAAAAAAAAACTTCATTGAAAAATTGCCTGGAATGTATCAGGGGGCATTGCTAGTACAAGGACAATTTCCAAATACTAACTCCTACATTTCTGCATTCCTCATTGCAATAGAAAAAAAATATAGTTTTCTTGCACTATTTTTGAAATCCTTATGAAGTGACCCTCACATTGAACTTATTTAAAAAAAAATAAAACATGACTTTCCTTGTTTAGTTGGAGTGTTGCGGCGTAGATAGTCCATTAGATTGGACGAAACGTCCTGTTTCCTGTTGTCATCCCACGAGGGAAAACGCTCCAGTTCCATCCCCCGAACACTGTAAGGATGCTAAACCAGGAGATGATTATTTATATTCTTATGGTTGCTTTGACGAGCTCCAGATGAAAGCCCGAAATTCTGCGAAAGTTCTTATCGGGGTTGGAATTGGTGTAGCCTTCATCGAGGTAAAAGTCTATGAATATTTTCATCTTATGTTAGGAAAATGCATTATTTCAACTGATGTGTGTATTTATATAAACAATAAACGAAATATTCAAATGAAAACACCAAAAAATATACCTGAAGTTTTTCAGTATTCATTAGGACTTACTGAACTTACTGAAGATGGCCAAAGAAGTAGGTAGTTATTTTCTCATCAAGCATTTATTGAATCCTAACTTATGACGGTTCTGAATTTCAAAAATGCATACCTCATTTATAAAATGACTTCAATACAGCTTCAATACCTCATTAATATGTTTAAAATATGTTGTTATTTTATGTTTTTCCGTTAACCAGCTATCGAACCCCTACGAACGACAACCCTCAGAAGTCGAAACTTGTGCGAGCTAAGGGCCAACGAGGTCTTACCTTTTAACGTGTGATCCCTAACACGGGTTGGACGATAGCAAGTGGCAATCGAGCGTTCAGCCTGGGGCTTGAACCATCGAGTCACACATCGGCCGATTGACTGAGTGAACGAAGTACCCACGTCGAACCGCCCGGCTACCGACCGACCGAATGATTCAGTAAATCCATTACAACACTTATTTCGTAGAACAGACCAACTTGATACTTCACAAAGCTGATACTTCGCAAAGCTTCCTTAGATTTTTACTTATACGGCCCCTGGGTCGTATCAGCACGACTCGCGATCGCAATGTGTCAAAGAAAGAAGAATCGCGTTTTTTAGAGCTTTTAGATTGCACTCGATTCCTCTACGCAAGTTTTAAAATGCGCCCACTACATTTATAAGTAATTTCAAGGGCAACGCGTGCCTAGACAGGCGAGAGAGTGTTAATTAGGTACCTATTTAGTTCTAGTAATCAACTCAATACCTTATTATTTTTGTTAAGAACAATAGAATCTTCCACGCACTTCGAGTCTAGACTTGAACCTTCCTTATCGATATATAAAAGAAGTGCGTCGGCGGAACGCGAGTCTGTTGAGTCGAGTAATCGAAGCGATACGGTCGGAGAAGAATTCTAGTTGTATTTAATATATGGCCCTCTGCAAAATTGAGTTAGATATATGTGGCTCATACATACATATGGAGTTTCGCCTCCAAGCATTTTCTGAGATAGCAATGTTCTATCCAGAAAAGAGTCATCCACCTGATTCGAAACATAAACATTGCAACCATGTGAAACATGAAAAGAAGGTTGGGAATGTGTCTCTTTTTCTGTAGATTCCCTCACTGTTCGACTGACATAGCCGACTTAATACCTCGAACAACAATGTTCAAGATTTTGAGAACGGCTTTCTTGTGTAATAAACTTACGGAAACCGTGTTTCCAAACAAATCTGGTGTAAAGCTATTTGAATCCAGCACACTTTCACGTAGGTATCGCACTCAGATCCTTTTGAGAAATTTCCTGCAATGCTTGTGCATTTTCAAAAAGATGAAATACGGATCTTATCAGATCATGCCTGGTATAATTTTATTGACAAACATGGAAATTCTATGTATACCATGAAGGTATAAAATAACGTATGGGAGTTGTTACTGCATAATTATAACGTCCTCAAGACACCCTTGTCATCGGGATAATAATAATATAATGAAGATCTTTATTTCTCATCATAATCAACTTAAAAAACAGAATAATTTTTGGTCAGTAATATTGTTGCTTCAAATGATTAAATTTCTGGTTATCTGAAATGAATTGCTAATATAGGAGTAAAATACACTTGTTTCTTTTTCAAAGTATCGTTAACTTGCAGAAATATTATGAGGATCGATTATCATCAAATGAAAATAGCATCGATTCCAACCAATGATATCCGACGATAACCCCATAACTCATTTGCTAGGATCGGATTCATATTGAGACTGAAACTCAATAAAATATGATCTGAATTGTTACGATTATTCGAAATTGAAAACCCGTTTTCTACGAAACACTTGTGATTTGAAATACAAACATACAACATACCTACACAGTAGGTTCTGCTNTGTGATTTGAAATACAAACATACAACATACCTACACAGTAGGTTCTGCTAAATTCCCGCCTAAAAACAACTACTTTTCCGGCTAATACCACGTTGAATTATATCCGATAGGCATTTATACAAGATATCCAAATCATGAAAACTGTATCGACAAGACTAACTTCTCTGAGGAATCTTTCATAAATGCCTGTCGGACATAATTCAATATCCAACGTAGTATTATCCGGGGAAGTAGTTGTTTTCCGGCAGGCATTTACTAGAATCTACTGTCTGGGTATTTTGGGAGAGATCAATGTTTCCAAATTTCATTTCGAAATATTCATTTTTTTGTATGTACGTAGGTATGTATCTCCCCTCGATAGTTTTCATTATTATATTTCAATAATTTTCATCGCCCAACAATTTCGAGATATGTAGAGGACAGGGTGGGAATAACACATCGCCGTTACTACGTAATATCCAGAAGAATATACGCAAAAATCGTGTAGATGTACCGCCGACATGTTCCTTGATACGTCATATAACTTTTATGAAATTAGGATACCCATTGAAATTCATCTGGACCTGGATGAGGACATTTATAGGATTATCAATAAGAATTTTCAGAGATACAAATGAATGACGACATTTTGACATCCCAAGGAAACAGTGTGCTATGTAGATGACATTAACAACTTAAAATTAGTTACGTACCATATCTTATGGAAATCTAAAGAAATGAAGTTTAAATGTTCAAGCCAGTCTAGGATATACCCACACGGTAGGTTGAATGGACTAACGCCTATCAGAAAACAACTACTCCACTGACTAGTACCACGAACGGCGTTGGATTATATCCGACAGGCGTCAGTGCAGGAATCTTTACACACTAGCTTGAACATTTGAAGTTCATTTCTTTAGATTTGTTTACTGCCAGTCTTCAAGCATATCCCACTGACTAATAAGAAAGTCTTATGGAAATATGGAAATGGATTTATTCGTTAATCAGTTATCGGTCATTGTCCTGATACGAACGGCAACCCTCGAGTCGAGAATTGTGCGAACTAAAAATGAATGAAATCTCATCATGTGATTCCTACTACGGGTCATAATGAACAAAATGATTGACATTTGAGCAACCCACATCATACACTCGCTCAAAACGCGTTATAGTCACCCATAGAGATCCTTCCTAATAAATTCCTATGAATAAAATATTTATTTTATAAACTGCACAAATTCATAGTCAACTAATGAATATGTTCAACTTTTTCAGATTATTGGCATCATTCTGGCCTGTTGGATGGCATCAGCAGTCAAAAACAAAGATTAAATTTTTTACGAGTCTATGTATTGGAGAAAAAAATATGTATATACATTTTTTTATTATCTTCCAGAATTAAACTAGAAATAAATAAGAACTTTATAATATGTTGGATATTTATAAAACACAATTTTACGAGGTTGAATTTATTGTAAATAAGAAAGAATTCATAGCAATATCATTTGTTGTTAAAATAATTCGTTTTTCAATGTGTAACAGAATTGTAAAATGTTATCCTCTTCTGTCTGTATTTATGTATGTGATGTACAAGTTGTTTATAAATAAAGCACCACGAAACATATCTATAATAATCTAACGCAATTTAATGTTGCCATTCTAATTTATATTGTGCTCTGAAACACTATCGTGCATAATGCACGTGATATATTAGACATGGCTGCTTGTACAGAGTCGCACTAAGGATTTTTTTAGGTGGAGTGTGAGGACACAATTTAGCAGTTTCTTCAGCCGTATCACTACCTACTTGACATTTTAAAAATTTCAAACTTTAAAATACCGTATATGCACACACCACAGGCGTTTAAACGTAACTCACCACTCCGACCCTGTAGCAACATGCCTCAATAAATTTCGCCAGCCGATGACAGTGAAATCTGATTGGCCAGCGTAAGGAGACTTGTTTATTTTACCCAATAGATTCAAATGTGCTAGTGATCACGTGGTGATCACGCACCTGTCATTGTTTGTGTTACTTTGTTTCTTTGAAGGAGAGAGTTAAGAAATAGATATTTTGAAAAATGTAATAGCATTTACTATTTTGAATTTCGATTCAATTCATTCAATCTCAATTCAATGTATTCATTCAGTTAACATTCAGTTAAATATTCAATTGAATAATCAGTTAAATTCTGTTAAATAATTAGATTACATGAATGACTATTTTATGTGCTATTTTGAATTCATCAAAAAGTCGAAAATTACACCTAAACATAGAATATGGTTGTATTGTGCCTATTCTCTCAGTTTGAATAAATCCTTACGACTTTAGAGAACAAATCAAAAAGTGTTCATATTATAGGTTACATAATATATTGGAGAGAGAAGGTAAATGCAATGTACCAAAGAAACGAGTAAGAGCGGGTATTTCATGAATGAATACTCCTTGGAATTTTCGTATGATATGATAAATTTGTGTTTTGTACTAGGGGATTCAAAAGATATTGTTAAATATTGTTGCATTTTCAGCGAGGTATAATTTTAATTTTTTTTTAATTTGGGAAGAGTGTTGATATTTTTCAGAGGTGCTGGGAGCATATTGTATATAAGTGCAGCATAAAGTATATAAGGATCTGATGTTTAGTTATTTGGTACCTATCACTTGAATATTATTTTTAATAGTGTTCTGCACTGTTTGCAAACAATCATTGTACTATGAAATGTTCCACCCCGACTCAGCTAAAGATGTATAACACATTCTCAAATTCTTCCTATCTACAATATCTCGTAGATTATAGAAGGTGTAAATAAGCTTTCAGTCTTTTTGTGGCTTGATTTATGTGTTCATCCCACCTGAAATGCTGGTCTAGCATAACACCCAAGTATTTGATAGTTGAAGTATTTTCTATTATATCACATGTACCTACATGGTTGATGTGAGTCGCATCACAAACTTTATTTTTAGTTTTGTTCTGTGTGGTTGATCAGTGTTTTGCAGAGAAAATGTTTACAGACAACTTTCCATGATTGATGAATTAAAGTGGCATATTGTTGAAAAATTTGCATTTTCTACTCAGATGAAAACATATTTTGTTTATTGTTTTGAGGTTTGTTGAAATCTTCTCTAGACCTAATGGCTCATAAGAATAACACTCCTAAACTATGATCGACATGGCTTAATGCGCCTGTTTTTAAAGTGTATAGGTATGCATTCTTTAGTTTTTTCTTCTAAATCCAAAAAATGCTATATCTACACACAATGAATATATTTGGCGTACATCAGCAATTCGTGAGGAAGTTGAGACACAATAAAGACTTGGAAATAGGAGCTACTGATTATTGGGTGATTCAGGTTATCCTTTGCAACCCTGGCAATGCACTGCCAAATACACCAGAAGGGAAATCTGCCGCCAGTAGTAAAAAGGTGGCAACTACAATTTTAAGTGATTTTCAGGTTTAACGGTCGGTAAGTTGGTGTGACTGTTTTCAACCTATATACGAAATTTAAAAGCGGTAAAAGTAGTCAGTATAGATAAAAAAGGCGAATCAAATTGGCCGTAAGTTCGGAGCGTCATCAGTTCAGGAAGTTAAAAGGCGGCAAGTAGTAAATATTTAGTGATTGTCTTAAATTGATTTCACAATATTGTCTTATCTACTAGTATTAAAATGATTTTACAATGTGTAAATCTAATAAATAAAATTTTATTTTAACAAGCTATATAGTATACTATTAGGTATTGGTCCACCATCTTTATTGATAATATTATCATGTTTACTTATTTCTACACTCTCATAGGCATCTAGATTCCTGTTGTTGCTAACTTGTCTAACTAATCCTAATGAACTGAAGTCTATGGAATTGTTTTATTGCAAAATATGATGGGCGACTACTGGTTTTTCAGGTCTTCCATATTTTAATATATCTTTTTATCTGTCCATAATATTTTGGATCGCAGTCCTTACATTTAATTTCATAAATTCCAGACTTTGTTTTTTGGACTTCCTAAAACACTATGTAGTGTGTGACTTGTTTTAAAAACCACACCACTTTCATACCTTGTTCCTTAAAAATCTTCCAAAAGTTCTTCGTGTATTGGTGGTTTGGAACTGAGAAATATTTATTTTGGTTATTGTCCTTTTTAAAAGTCGAGATTTAGTTCATTCTTAACCTAAACTTCTTCTTCCTTATCATGTTATTTATTGTTGCTGCTATTTTCTGTATTGTACGTTTTTCTTTTGTGAACCTCTCATGTGTGAGAGGAAAATTCAAAAGACGATGCACTAGAAAATTCAGCCCAGCACATTTGTGCCGTTCACAGTGATGTGAACTGTCAGGAATATACCTGTACGTGCTTGTTTCTTTTATACATACATCGTATTCTAACCCTCCATATTGGCTCCTCATCACCAAAACGTCAAGAAATGGAAGTTGTCCTTTATTTTCCAAATCATACGTGAATTTCATTGATGGAATATATTATTTAATTCACATACCTTAGCCATATCCTAGGAAAATACTTTGCCTTTTCTTTGGTTTCCATTTCGAATCTGCCAATGAACAGGTTTGCCAGGTAAAGGGACAATGGGTTACCCATAGCCGTTTCCTCCTGTTGTTCATAAAAACAACCTTCTACCTGGAACCGGTTTTGTTTCATACACAAATTAGTGAGAGAAACAAATTCATCATTTTCGTTATTATTGAAATTATCTTTCTCCAGTAATTCCCTGAGGTATTGTGAGGTCTGTGGAATTGGGACGCTAGGAAATAAGGAACTAAGAACTAACATCAAGAGAAAACAAAATCTCACCTTGTTGCAGAACGATGTTTTTTGTACATTAGATGAACTCTAAGGAGTTTTTTATACTTAAACCTGGTTTCGCAATAGATAAAACTTCAAATTCCTCACTGAGCCATTTTGCTATTTGGTAGGTAGGAGATCCAACAGCTGACACGATCGGGCGCATGAATTTTCCAGGTTTGTGTAAAATTAATTCAAGACTAGTAGATATATTAAAGATTGCCAGGAGGCTAAAAAATTACACGAAAGTGTGGATAAGGAAGTAGGGACAGTGAGGACTCAATGGGACAAGGGGTATGATGGAATATCGTCAATAAATATTGGAATTACAAATGAATTTTCGCGCTTTCACTTCGGCCAATCACAACGCTTCAAGTGCAAACTGATGACGCAGTGTATTACGGCGGACATGCGACAATAGAGTTTTGGGACGATAAAAATTGCTTTGAGGAGTAAAAATTTTCAATTTTCTACCGGAGAACTTTTGACTTTTGACAAAAAAAGTAGTTATAGCAGGTTCTATGGAAACTGTTCCATTGTGCTCCGTTCAATTCCATGGTATCATCTGTTCTGTTCTGTTTAAAATATGTTCTTCCGTTAACCAGCTGTCGCACCCCTACGAACGACAACCCTCAGAAGTAGAAACTTGTGCAAGCTACGGATTAACGAGGTCTTGTCTTTTAACGTGTGATTCCTAACACGGGTTGGACGATAGCAAGTGAAAATCGATCGTTCAGACTAGGGCTTGAACCACCGACCAACACGGCAGTCAATTCGAGTGAGTGAACAAAGCACCCACGTCGAACCGCTTGGCTGCCAACCGACCTTGTATATACTTAGATATATATGTTCAAAAAAAAGGAGCAGAGGCCGGTGGGGCAAAAATATCTATGAAACCTAACTATGCAGTCAGAAAGATATTTTCGAATGAACTCGAAGACGCATTAGAACAATATTTAGTGACTTCTTTTAAAATTTGCTGTGGTCTCGACACTGTAGAGACTGAGATGGAAAATGGCTGGCATTGGTTGGGTTTGTGGCTTCAGAAAGCGACACCCCGAAATAGTACTAAGCAGGAGGCTTGCAGCTTATCGAGGGCAACATCTTTTAACAGACACATCGTGGAAACGTTTTTTGACAATTTATTTACCATTCAAGAAAGGTACCTAAATCTTGGAGACGGCACAGTTAAAACGAAACTGAAAGAACCACCGTTCAGAAGCCAAATAATGTATTTGCTTCAAAATCATCAAGTCATTGCTGAGAGAGGCACTTTGGTTACCACCAGTTGCATGATATCAACCAGTGGAACTGCCTTTCTACCAGCAATTGTGTTTACATGAAAAACATTTCAAGAGTCACATGATTACAAGAGCACCCCCATGCACCTGAGGTCTTGCTCAACTAACTGGCTAGATGACGGGTGAATTGCTTGCAGATGTTATGGAACTTTCTATCAAAATGACGTCTTCTACGAAAGACAAAACAACTCTCGTGATCCATGGAGATAACCATGGAAGCCACCTATCTTCAGAAGTCTTAAAATTGCGAAGGAAAATGGTGTACAATTGTTTCACAATACCTCAGCATAAGAGTCACAAGTTGCAGGCGCTAGATGTTTCGGTATATGGCCCACTCCGAAAGTTCTAGAATGCTGCATCAGATTCATGGATGTCTCGACCCCCAGGACAGACTCTGTAAAAATGAAAAAACAATCATCTTTTGTAAAATTTCGAGCAATAACTGCTTTTCTGAACATTTTTTGGAAAAAATCTCAAATTGGACAGGAAAGAAAAATTACTTGATCGGTCATATGCATGTCATTTGGCATCATTTTTAAAGCACAACCTAATGGAGATATCAAAAGTTGCTTGAAGGGATGAACAAAAAAAATCCCATTTGATGCGGACTTAGTGTGACACTGTATGTGAGCAAAGGAAAGCTTCACAAAGTATTGACATTCGTAGAGGCCTGTTCGTAGAGGCCTGTTCAATTGATAAATATAATCATTTTTCTTTTGATACTTCGATAATTGATAAATCTTTTTCTATATAAATTATATTGAAAACTCCAATAACCAGGGTTCATATTCATCTCTACTCCCATATGGACGAAACCAATTTGATTTTTTATTCAAACTGGATGACAATCAACAAAACCTACAAAAAAAAAGAAATATCCCTAGTAAATGCTACACTAGGAAGTTATATATAGAACTTTGTTTAAATAAAACGAATTTTTTACAGACTTAAAATTCAATAACTTCTGATTCAGGTTTGGAGATGTGACTAACTAACATAAAACCAAATTTAAATTTATTCAGAAATCGAAAAAAACCATCAAAATGTTGACAAGCTCTTTCCGTTATGACAACTGGCACTCATCAGATACCCAGTGTAACCAATACAAAAAATAAAAACTCCAAATAAATCCTTAACAAAGGTCGATTGAATCACAAACATAATCACTTTAAAAATTGATCACATTCATTCGTCAACCGCAAAAAGAACCAAATTTCAATCGAGAACGGCTTTTGTGTATATTATGCCGATGGTTTCAAATTGGTCGCGGATAATTCCCACTTGAATGGTGGATAATTTCATGATCAGACTACTGTGGCAACATTGGATTTGGCTTGAGGTTATTGTAAAAGTCTGAAAAAGCGTTCTATAATAGTTATTCCGTGTAATACTTTTGAAATTAAGAATCGGGTAAGATATTCAAGAAGACTACAAACTACAAAATGGCTCTGAATCTACAATACGAAGCTATAGGAAAAAGTTTCGTACAGCAATATTATGCTTTATTTGATGATCCAACTCAGAGGCCTAATTTGGTAAACATGTATAATGTAAGTGAATATGAAAATATTTTTATCATTTTTGAACTTTTATAATAAAATTGCAGGTCGAACTATCATTCATGACTTTCGAAGGTACGCAGCTACAAGGATCTGTGAAAATAATGGAAAAACTAAATGTAAGCAGTTTTCATTCTATGTAAAAACTTTTTACAGCTCCTAATTAGAATGATTGGATATTTTGAGATTTGAAATATCAGTATACACCTTTTATAGAATACTGAATGTCCCCATTTTTTTAGTCATGTTAGAATTTTCTGCCTTCTAGGACTTGAGTATATTATTTCTGTATAGAATGTCTTGTTATTCATTTGTAGCAGATATTGAGCTATAGAACCCAATTTATAAAATAATCTGACTTTACTCTAATCATAGCCCCAAAATATCTCCAATTGCCACTTATACCACTGCATTTTGGACACTGTAAAAGACTGTACAAACTAGAGCGAGCTACGAATTAACAGTCTTGACTTTTAACATGCCATTCTTAGCATGTTAAAAGGATAAAATTATGGACAACACATCTGATCTTCTGTATTATGTAAGAAACTCTGCCGAAGACTGCCCGATTTAGTTGAACTACAGATTGGATTGGTAACTCATGCAGAGCTGTAAGTGTATCTGAGTGTGTTCTTCTGATACCAGTTCCAATATTTGACCGGATTTTTCTATTGATATGAAATTAATTACTCATAAAAAATGTGGTCTTCTTAGATGTTGAATTAAATATTGTTCTCCCACCTAAATAACAATTTGCCTTCTGTGTTTATCTACGTGAGTAGGACAATTGAAAATTACTTGGATTAGTATTGTTGAAAAAACAATTGAGACTTTTGCTAACAGAACTTTCTTATAATTCTGCTCTTGGTATGAAAGGTTAGTAAGTTTATGCAGTGATGTCTAACGCATATTCTGTTTTATAAATCGACTAAATTCATTCAATTTTGTATTTGAAACATATATTATTACTGGTAAATTTGGAACCTTTGGCATAGAATAAATCCAAAACAACAAGCACTTTTCCCAGACATCAGAACTTCATCTTCTGTAGACGCCAACTTGGTTGTTGAAACGTGTTGAGAATAGTATGGTAGTTCTGTTTTGTTATTAAATAAAGAAGAAAGTAATAAAATTCTTTCACATAAGATCTTGTCACACGTCTCTATGGATGAATTGTGAATTGTTCTGAATTTCTATGTCAAATAACTTATTGAATTATTTTCTTGAAATTTACAAGATTTTATTTTATATTGAACTTATTATTGTTGTTTTTCAGGCTCTAACTTTCCAAAAAATCAATAGGATAATAACTGAGATAGACTCCCAACCAATGTTTGATGGTGGGGTGATAATTAATGTATTAGGAAGATTACAGGTAAGTTCAATTAGTATTCTCATTCTGAAATATTTAGGACCAAAACTTTCTCTCAAATCTACTCTAATCTAATCTAATTCTCAAATAAAAGTTGTACAGAACTGTGCAAGTTATCTTACAGAAATAACTACTAATATAAAGGGTGTTTAATAAACGTGTGACATCATAGAAGTGGTTTCTAAATGGAACATTGTTTATTTTAATTCAGTCGATTTCCTTGAAAAGAGTTGTTTAAAAAAATATAGGGTCATTTGAGTTTATACTGGGAGATTTGGAAGTTATGGGATGATTTATGTCGCAAAATGGATTCATTCAACACCAAATATCTCTACTCGATCAAATGGAATAAAATAATTTTTCAACCAAAATTCTTGAGATGATCTGATCCCCAATTATACCTCCTCAAACATTTATTGATCATCTGTTTTAGATTTCGAATTTTCTAATCTAATAGGGATTCTGTGTCGTGTAGTGATGACAGTTTTGTCTACTTACCCTGCCACCACTTTTATTTGTTGACTTCTTTCTGAACAAACATCTGTTTTTTTGCAAATTGATTTTAATAAATTTTCACAAATCATAATCTCTTTTATAGAGTTCTTGATGAAACTCAATTTGCTACAAGTGAACTTTATTTTGCTTATCAATATTTTATTCATTAAAGTACGACCTATATTCACCATTCATGCAATTTTCGTTATACTAACTTGAGAATTACTGTCGACAGCATTACCCCTATTTTAATCATTCCTTGATTTTGTCACTTGTCTTTTTTATGCTTGGCACTGCATGTACGATTTATCGAAGGTTAACCACTTTATCTTGTGGAATATTAGCCCCCCTTAGATTTTGCTGAGACAACCTGACGTCTTCCTCTATGTTCGCAGCATCTTATATGAGAAATTCAGTTTCTGCTGGTCGCTTTTCTGAAAAGAAGAAGCACAACTCCTGAGTTAGTAACTGTGCAATCACTGACAGAATATCGCTCTTCGTTGCATCTGGGAACAAATACTTGGCGAGTCCCAGTTCATTTCAAATTAACACATCAGCTTTATAATGTTCCCGTCTTGACTTTCTCCATAAAATTTCGAAGTTAGTTCGCCCAGCAACTCTATTGCAGGCGAGACACCGTCATCCTCCAGATTATCTGGGACTGCATGTCAGCCATGCAAGCTAGAGAGCTTGTCAACTAAGGTCGGCCTTTGGTTTGGAGCTTCATTGTTGTTGGTAGGAAATGTGATTATTCTGTTTCACTCACCACATGGAACAAATTCTCTTGTGCATCCCGATACATAATCTCTGTCGTCTCAAGATTTGAAGTCTCATGACAATTATGTACACAGAAAGGGTTCAGCGTTGAATTCCGTAACTCAAAACAACTCTTCTCGTAGTTGGAAAACGGCTCCTGTGCTTCATCCTCTCTCATGAGACCTAATGGCTCAAAGGACAGATCCGAATGTTCCATACTATCCCTAACACTAACCAACAAATTCTACGTGACTCGAGCTACCTAACATCCCTAACTTTGAGGGACTGCTTCCGGAGACAAACTGGATTTCAAATGCCAACTATAGATTTGGCAGTTATTGGAATTACACAAAATCACTTCGGCTATAGAGCATGACTTATTATACATAATTATTCAATGTGTTTCGGGATGTGTTGTTTAAAAATAGAATAGCGCAGGTTGCTTTTTTCACTTATTTCTGATTTATTTCTGAAGTACTGTTCATCAACAATAAAACAGCATTAGTACATCTTCTGGCACCTTCAACCCAATGATTCATAAAAACTGTATCTTTGTACCAATCCTGTGATGTTATAGACTTGTTTGCAATAGGAACTGTATTTAACTCTAGGTCGGCATCAATCATCTCTGTGGGGGAACACTTCTGACCCTAGTTTTTCAGTGAAGTTCAGTTTCACTTTTTTTTTTTGGAAATTCAGTCGCTGACTTTTACATAGTGTGTTCTTAAATGTGATAAACCTATTTTATACTGTTTTACTGACTACCTATTCTGTCAAAATAAATATTGAACTTATATACAGTCTCTTCAACAATATCTTTGAACCTTTCAACAAAGTCTAATGGACCTACTGTATAAAATATCCATGATTTTCATTTTCAAAATATTGAATAATCACCTTCCTGTATATCTTGAATTGATTACAAGGAAAAAGTTTCTATCTACTCAAATATAATCTCACTGATCACCTATAGTCTATATATATTACTATAACTTTCAATTTAATTACTCAGTGTCTAAGCATTATCTCAAGAACAGGTCACAATTAGTCAAAATCAAAAACTTTGAATAAGAACGAATTTTTGTACCTTCTGGAGTGCCACAGGGCTCTCATTTGTGACCCCTGCTGTTTACCCTATTTATGAACGATGTTGGCAATTCAAATCATTACTGTAAATTCTTGCTGTTTGCTGATGACCTGAAGGTATATTTGCCTATCGAAAATATTGAAGATTGTCATAAGATACAGGATGATATCATTTCTCTATATGTTTGGCCTGGAAACAATGGGATGTCGTTAAATCAAGGAAAATGTACAATGTTTGCTAGAATAAATATCAAAATCGTCTTCAACTATGTTCATGACGATGTCAATCTAAAACGGCTCATTGAAATAAAAGATGTGGGTATAATCTTTGATGTGAACCTTTCGTTCATCATCCACGTCACCACCATCAATAAAGCAACTTGAACTTCTTGGTTTCGTCTTCCAAAATTGAAATTTAGGATAATGAAATTAATGCAAGAATACTTTATTTTGAAGTGAAATTGACAGATGAAACTTTCAAGATGGCGGCTGGGCGCCATCTGGGGGAAAAAAATTGAATATCAAATCAAATCAAAATATGCTTTATTACCCAAGATATAAACATCTTATTGGCAAAGTCTAGTAAAGTAAAACATGTATAAGGGACAATTAACAAATATAAACTATAAAATAATGCTTAAACACCAGAGCAGAGTATATGGATGAGAAAATACA